GCTGGTTACTGTTAGTATCTAGGCAACAATTCCTACAAGATTCTCTAATGACAGCCATTTTCCTGAACTTCCTTGATAATTCTAAGAGTTCTCCCATTGACTCTTCAACAGGGATTTCTCTGCTCCCTGGTATTCAAGCCTAGTTACAGGGCTTCATAGTTTTCAAAGTTATTGTACATCTATGATTACAACAGAGCTTGGAGGAACTCACCTCTGAAAGGTGAGGTCTGAAATCCTGAAGCAAACCAGAGCTATCCCAGCCTCCATCAGTGATCCAACCATGTGCCAAGACCAGGGTACCAGAGAAAGGACAAATAATCACAGATAAACTGTCTCGAAGGCACACCCAGGCACAATCTCCTCCACCCCAGCACCTGTTTTTCTGGATTGGCATTATCAGTGAGCAGACCAGAGAGCTGTGGTGTGTTTCCAGATGTGCTAAGAGAATCTCCATGAACAGGTTATAGTTCTTCTGGTTCAAAAGCACAGAGTTTGGAAGATGCTTTCCGACCCAGCTGAATAAACTGGGCAAAACTACCTATTTATTTATTTTTTAAAGCAAGTATACACATGTAGTAAAAAAAAAATGAAACAGTATGAGGGTAAAGTTTAAAAGTTTAAAACAGGGAAGTATGTATACATGACTGTAAATGGGTTAGTACATGCATAGACTGTTTGTTTCTGGAAAGATGCACAAGAAATTATTCCCAATGCTTGCCACTGCAGAGGAGAACTGCAGGGGGTCTGAAGTGAGGAAAATTAGAAAAACTTACTTTTCACAGACCCTTGTACTTTCTGGATTTTTATTGGATTTTAAAAATTATGTGTATATATTAATTTTTCAATTAAAGCAAATTAATTAAAAACAATACATATATTTCTATCACTCATGTGAGGGATCCCGGAAGCTGACACTGCAAAGGCATTCAGCCAGGTACCGCAATTCTAGCCAGAGTGAAAGACAGCCTACCTTTCCCAGGAGCTCCCTCCTGGAAACAGAACGCTAGCCCCACCTGAGGCAGGATGGGGAGGTTCAGCTTGCATCCCAGCTGCGTGACCCACTGTGGGACAGACGGCAAATCACCTAACTACTCTGAGCCTTACTCTCTACATCTGTGAGATGGGGGGTGGGAAATAATACCTGCTGGCCATTTTTTAGTGATAGAGCTTTTGTGTGTGCAAAGGAACGTTCCCAATTACTTGGATTTTCATTAGTATCCATTATGTTACAGGTTTTCATTTTTAAATCTGCTGTTTTTTAAGCCACTGAGCACAATTCACAGATATATTTTTATATTGTATTTTTTATGCTGTTAGATCTTTTTATAAATCAAATGGAACTCATTTTTTGAATAATGTTCAGTTCATTAAATTTAATAAAGGAGAATTTCTTAATGGTCAGTACCTCCTACATAATTAATCAGATTGCTTTCAACATTTCAAGCCACAAATATGAGGTTACTATATTTTATTCTCTCAAACACCTCATACATTTAACGGTATAGACATAAATCCCACAGACAAAATCTTCCTGAAGGTTTAAACAATTCTTTAGCTAGTAGATCAGACTTATGAATTTAATCATCATATTCTCCTACATATAGCAAATATCTTTTAAAAATCACATATATAAAACAGCCCAAGGATTTAAAAAAAAACTTACTACTAAACAATTTACACAAAGGTATTAGTAGCTCAAAGACCAAAAAAATTTTAAATGCTTTTCTGGGGTTTTATTCACTGCCATCCTAGGCCAGCTGAGATTAATCAACTGAAATTGAATCAGATTTTGAACCCATTTCCTGGGCTGGTTTTTTTTTTTATTGATTTATAATCATTTTATAATGTTGTGTCAAATTCCAGTGTAGAGCACAATTTTTCAGTCATACACAAACATATATATATTCATTGTCACATTTTTCCCTCTGTGAGCTCCCATAAGATCTTGTGTATATTTCCCTGTGCTATACAGTATAATCTTGTTTATCTATTCTAGAATTTTGAAATCCCAGTCTATCTCTTCCCACCCCCTACCATTTCCTGGGCTGTTATTGCACCCCAATTTGTTTCACAATTTTAGATGTCTGTTGACTCCCATACTATTGCATTTTATTGACTATATGAGAATTATGTATAATAATTTATATAAACAGACATTCTTACCTAATATTCAGAACACCAGAAGTAGTTATTCATCACAGTTAAGGGTTAGAAAGGAACAAGAAGAAGATTTCAAATAGCCTTCCAATATTATCCTCCCCTTCCTTATAACAAAACCTAATTTTTCTCTGGGTACCATGCACCCAGCTGGTCGATTACCTTTCCCAGCTTCCCTTGCAACTGGGTGTGGCATGTGACTAAGTTCTGGCCAATCAGATGTAAGCAGGAAAAAGGTGCAATATAGAAAGTATAGGAACTTTCCCTTCCATCTATCTGCTGCTTCAAATGAGGAGCTCCAGCAGCCATCAAGCACCACAGCCAAGACACAGAAAGCTGGAAGGAGTTCTAGTCCCCGATGACACTGAGCACCATGCTCCTCCTGGACTGACTTCCTATAGTTTTCTTTTAAATGAAAAGAAAATAAGGTTCTATCTTGTTTACTCTGTTCTTTTTCAAGACTCTGTTACTCATAGCCAGACTTAATCCTTATTGTTCCACCTTCCCTGCGTTATGAGCTAGAAAACCAAGAATGTTGCATAGATTAGATACATGGACCCAGTCTTTATGAAATACGTATTTCTAGTCATTGCCACATTAGGGTTGTAGGTTTTTAAATTATTCTTTTGTAATATTTTACACAGAAGCTAATTCTTCTCTCATTAGATTAAATTGTTAACTTAAGAGATATTTAAAATGTTTCCAGGTTGCAGTAATGGCTGATGATCAGATAAAGAAGTTGTGGTATATACACAATGGAATACTACTCAGCCATAAAAAGAATGAAATAATGCCATTTGCAGCAACATGGATGGGCCTGGAGATCATCATACTAAGTGAAATAAGTAAGACAAGGACAAATAGTATATGATAACACTTACATGTCAGATCTAAAAAAAGGACACAAATGAACTTATTTACAAAACAGAAACAGACTCACAGACATAGAGGACAAACTTATGGTTACCAAAGAGGTGAGTGGAGGGATAAATTAGGAGTTTGGGAGTAGCAGATACACACTACTATATATAAAATAGATAAATAACAAGTTCCTACTATAGAGCACAGGAAACTAAATTCAATGCTTGTAATAACCTATAATGAAAAAGAATCTGAAAAATAATATATATATGTGTATAACTGAATCACTATGCTGTACACCAGAAATTAACACAACACTGTAAATCCACTATACTTCATTTAAAAAGAAAAAGAAGAGAATAAATAACCTGAATCAATGCTCCCTATGCCAAAGTCTGTGTAAGATGGGGGCCCCTTCGAGGTGCATGAGGCAAGCCCTGGGCCCTCTGCCGAGCTAACTGGAGTCTTGGGGGTACTAGCCAGTCCCTCCTCACCTACCGGCCCTCCTCGCCTTTGGCTCAACCTCCCCAAACCTCACTCTGCCAGATTGGCTCTCCTTATCCATTGTTCCCAAAGAAGCTTGGCAGAAATATAACAAGAAGTTGGAGCTGTTCTTTCATTTAGCACTTCAAATATTTGAAATTGTATGAGATGACTCAATTCCAGGAAACTTCAGATATCCTGTGACACTTGTTCAGTGAAGTGTTAAAAAAAAGACCTACTCCAGGGTCTTACGGAAAGATGTGAGCAAGCCAGCCTGTGGGAGGCAAGGACAAGATGTAACTTCAGAAGAGTGTCACTTGCATTCCCAGTGGTTTGCACCGTTGGGCTTCCCTGCCTCACTTCTACGTTGTTCTCTTGAGCTCAGCCCTGTGTGCGTGGCTCCAGAAAAACTCTCCCACAAACTTCCCGTAGCCGCCAGCCCGCTCGCTCCTCCAAGTGCTATTTATGAATGTGTGTGTTTAGTGATAAACTCGTTCAAATCCTTTGAGGGGAATATTTATTAAATGCTTATTAAATACAAACACAATTCCTTTATTTCTCATCTCTATCCTTCAAGGAAAATTTTGTGATGCCTATTTTAGAGAAGAGAAAACTGAAACTCAGAGGTTAAGAAACTTGCTCAGGGTCTCAAAACAAGTACTTACTGGAGCTGTGCATGAATCACAAATTCAGGTGGTTTTTTCTAGGGCCTCCCTCAACCATGCCTGAAAGGAACTGGGCTACTAATGTCACTTGGTAGCAGCAAAATGGAAAGACCACAGGCTTTAGAATAAGACATACCTGGGTTTAGTCCCAGTTGGTTACTTCTGAGCTATATGACCATAGGCAATGTATTTAAACTTGGTTCTTTCACCTGTAAGCTACGAATAATAATAGTACCCTTCTAGTGGGACTGTCAAAAGAATATAAAAAAGAATTTGGCACGTGCTAAATACTGGATGAATAGTAGCAGTAATGGTTTTTTAAAATTTATTCTTCAAGATGATGCTAACTGAGCACCTAGCATATGCTAGGCCTAGGAGTGTCAATTGCTTTTAAAATGGCATTAAAGAAATAGAAATTCATTCCTTCTACAAATGTTTAACACCTACTCTGTGCCAGGACTGTTCTAGGGACTGGGGATACTGGAGCTTATATTCTGTCAAGATCGTGGAGGAGGAGCAGTAGAGATAATAAACTAGTTAATTATAGTGTGTTAAAAGATGATAATTGTCATAGGGAAGAAAAAAGTATGAGAGTGGAGGAACATGTTGCCGTATTACACAGAGAGGTCACAGCCGGCCTCGGTGAGAAGGTAAGATTAGAACAAAACTTCAAAGGATGTGAGGTCATCAGGCTAGCAGACATCTGAGGAAAAAAAGAAACAGGAAGTGGATTTACTATGAAGCTAGTGAAGCTTGAATTTCAAGATCCCTAGCTCACAGGGGCCCACTTCAAGGACTTGCATTTAATTTTGCATTTTTGATTTCTTAATACAGGTCTACAAATGTGCGTGTATTTCAGCATTTCCCCCTGCAGAAAAGTATTTCCAGCAGAAGAACCAGTTAGAGCAAAAGCGAATACACCTGAATTGCTCAAGGAACAGCAAGGAGATGCCTGCGGCAGGAGCAGAATGAATGGAAGAAGTGGGAGGAGGAGGACAGAGCCTTGGAGGCCACGGAAAGGACTGTGGCTTCTGTGGGAAGCCGTTGGATTGTTTGTTTGATTGTTTGTTTTTATTTTTGTTTTTTTACATTTGGGAAAAACTTTATTGGTCTTGATGAAATATAGCACCAGTTTGAAGAACAAAAGATGGTTAGGATTAACCACCTTTTAATCAACAGTATGTGTTTATAGGAAAAGTGCACAAAGTAGTAGTTCTGAAAAAAAGGTAAGTATGACAGAATTTTTGTATTATGTAGTTTAAACATGTTACCTACTTCATTAAACAGACAATAAGCAATCTATCTATTTAAGTAATACCGGATTTGCTACTGTCAGTTTGATTAACAAATCAACAAATAGAAAATCAATTAAGGGACAGAAACACTATTCAAACTTATAAAACAAGTTAGAACATTATAATTTTTATGTCAAAAATATTTCTGATAATTGTTTCATGATTGCACTCATGAAATTTTCCAAATCGTGATTGAAAAGATTTCTTCCGAATGCTAACATTTATCCCAAGGAAGAAAAACCTAAGCAGTGTGCAGACACTATGTGACCTCTGTGGAAAAGGCCCAGTTTCCCTCCAGCAATTTAAAAACACGAATGTCACTCAGGTGACTCAGGAACCAGAAACAAGACAACGTGACCACACATGTGCTCTGTAAAGTCAGCCAGAGGTTTTCTTCATAACCGCAGCTAGCACTTTCTCAGTCTTTAGAGAGTAGGATTTTGAGTAAACTTCCTTGTTTTAAAAGTCCGAACAGATAAATTGCAATGCTGAAATACAAAGTTTTTAATGCAACCTTCTATAAGAAGTCATTAAAATATAAAAGCCAAACAATCTAACATCCGATCTAAGTTCCTCTGAGATACACATTGTTCATCAGTTTCTTTCTTCTCCAATCATCTGAAATATCAGTCAGTATGCCGGTGATCTTCAGGGTAAAACAGATGCTGTCTTATTTAAACTAGATTGACTCTCTGTAATAACTTTTTCAGGAGTGCCATTTTTAAACATAATTTCACCCATCGTGTGCCTCAGTCCGATTTGAGGGCACCATTGGGGGTTTTGAGCAGAATTGTGACATGATCTGACTTACACTTCAAAGCATTGTTTTGCCTGGTATATTGAGCAGAAATGAGGGGATGATTGGCAGTAATCCAGGGGGGAAAGATGATGGTGATTTGGACCAGCATGGTGGTAATGACAGTGGAGAAGTGGCTGGATTCTGAGTATATTTTGAAGGTCAAGTCAACAGGATTTCCTGGTGTATCAGCATTGAATTATGAAGAGGAGAGGAGTATTTAAAGTAGTGAGACAGCATGAGATCAACAAACTGGACCTACAGGAGTTTTGAGGCAGGAGGCATACCGACTTTTTCAACAAAAGAGTTTGGCCTTACATTTGATTGAAGTAATTCTTTCAGAATAAGGCTGAGATTTAATTTCTTCAACATTCCCTTATAATTTAATTGTACTGATTGTTTAATTAAATTAAATAAAACTAAGGTGTGTGTGAGGCTTAATCTTTCCTCTCCCACTCTATGAAATTCAACTAAGAAGATGTGGTATATTAGGTCAAAGAAAAAGACATCAGAATTAGAGTTTCCAGTTAATGGTTCTAGTCCAAGTTCTATGGACAATGGGACCATGGACAAGTCACTTAAACCCTGGTCACTGATCTCCGTATCAGTGAGATGAGAGGATTGGAACAAATATCCCTTCCATCTTAATATTATTCTTTTTGAGATGAGATTGTAATTGATTAGATCTCTTGTTTTGTTTGTTTTGTTCTTGATATAGTATAAAGAAGATGATTTTGAGCAGAAGCAGCTTGATGCTTGCCTTATTTTCCTCCCTCACACCCTTCTTGGTCTGCAAAAGGACATAGCCTGAACCAAATGCTTCCATCAAAACTGAGTTAGAACATGATCCCTTCTCTCTTTGCAGGATTCCTCTGGGAACATGCTCTGCAGTTTCTGCTGAGAAAGTTTCTGCAGGATTCCTCAGGGAACATACTCTGCAGTTGCTGCTGGCCTGACAGCCTGGAGATCTGCAGGTATTTCATCAGATTTTCCCAGTAAGGAGAGAACAGGGCTGAAGCAATAAGCAGCAGCTCTTACATGTGTTGGATCATGAAGCCCCTTGAGAATCAGATGTAACAGCTGTTTATCAGGTCAACAGGAAAATATTATTGCCACTAAATATTAGAAATAGAACCTTCATCCTTTAATAAATGAAGAGGCTAAAGACAGAGGTTAAGAGACTTGCCCTAGGTCTTGCTGTTGGTGAGCAGTGACTGCAGACCTAGAATTTAGGTCTTGACTCTTGACCAATGTTCTTTCCATTATATGATGATGCCTTGGCAAATTTCATTATTTCCCCTATTTTCCTACAAAGCTAAGTTTCAAAAAAACTTTTTTTATTTGGGTGGGGCACCATGTTTTGTCCTTAACAGCATTATTGAGCTATAATTTACATACTATTATATTCAACCATTTAAAGTGTACATTAGTACAGTCACAGAGTTGTGCAACCATCACCACAATCTAATTTTAGAACATTTTTTCACCCCAAAGGAAACCCCATACCTATTGGCAGTCATTCCCATTCCCCCTACCTCCTGCCCTAGGCAGTCACTAACCTTTCCATCACCATGGATTTGTCTATTCTGAGCATTTCATGTAAGTGGCATTATACAGTTAGTAGAGTTTTGTGACTGGCTTCTTTCACTTATAATAATGTTTTCAAGGTCCATCCATACTGTAGCATGTATCAATACTTCCCTCTTTTTATTGTCAAATAATATTCCATTGTGTGGGATGTTTTGGTTACCCATTCATCAGTAGATGGACACTTGGATTTTTTCCACTTTTTGACTATTGTGAATAAGCTGTGAGCACTCCCATACGAGTTTTTGTGTGGACATATGTTTTTATTTCTCTTGATTTATACCTAGGAGAATTGCTGGGTCATGTAAGTCTATATTTAACATTTGGAGGAACTGCCAGACTGTTTTCCAAAATGGTTACATCATTTTACATTCCCACCAGCAATGTATACAGGTTGCAATTTCTCCACATTCAAGCCAACAACTGTTATTGTCTCTTTTTTTTATTGTAGCCACTGTAGTAAATGTGAAGTGGCAACATATGTGGTTAGTGGCTACCACATTGAACAGAGAGGAACCAAGCAGTCAGGGACTAAAATGTAATTAAAAACCAGATCATAAATTCTACCCACATTTTTTTCCCAGCCAAAACTTAATGAGCCTTTACTATGTGGCAGTTACTATATTAAGCACTGTCTTAGATTATCTCATTTAATTCTCCCCCATACCACCAGCAGTAGGTACTATTACTGGCCCATTTTATAAGTGAGGAAACTGGCTTAGAAAAGGTAAATTAGCCTACCTTTGTGGCTAGTAAGTGGCAAGTCCAGGATTTAAGTCTAGAGCTATTTGTCTCCTGAAAAGAAGTCTTTAATCACTACACTGTACTGCTAAATATTTTACTCAGTAGATTTGCTTTTCCAAAAGAAGTCTAATCAATCATTGCTTTTCAAATTTTTACCCTCACCATGCATTTCTAGCTCCCGGGAATATCTGAATATTTGTTCCAAACTTAGGTATCAGAATCACCAACTTCAATATGCTACTTGAGCCTTGTGTGTTTCTAATATTAAACCAAAATGAGAACCACTGAGTCTGTTGGAATTATGTTCAGCTGCAATTAACAGAAAGTGCCATAAACAAGGTAAAATTCTATTTTTCTTATCCTTTAAGAAGCCCAGAGACAGTGGGTCAGTCTAGGGCATGTATCAAGCTCTGTGGTGTTGGGAACCAGGCTCTGTATACCTTGTTTCTTTGCTTTGTGTGGTTTCCATTTTCCCAAAGTCACCTCATTGTCCAGTTGGCTGTTGGAGCTTCATCTATTACGTTTGCCTTCCAAATGGCAACGAGGTAGAAGGGGAGAGGAACACATACATTCCCTTTAAGGACTGTTTAGGAATATGCACATGCCACTTCCACTTAATCCCGTGTAAAGCCAGGACTGAGGTGTAAAGCCACACCCTGTGTGCAAGGGAGGCTGAGAAAAGCAGCCTTTATTTTGAGTGGCCATGTAGTCAAAGACCTATTAGAAGTTCTCTTCTGATGGAGGAATTAAGAGGAGTAAATATTTGGGACAATTAATTTCTGTCACACCCAGCAAGGAGTGTGAAAATTTAGGTAAAATTTACCTAATTCTTACTTCTACCTTTTTTTTTAATTGAACTATAATTGATTTACAATGTTAGTTTCAGATGTACAGCAAAGTGATTCAGTTATACATATACATACATTTTTTTCAGATTCTTTTCTGTTATATATTATTACAGGAAATTGAATATAGTTCCCTGTGCTATACAGAAAGTCCTTGTTGTTTATCTGTTTTATAAACAGTAATATGTATCTGTTAATCCCAAAGTCCTAATTTGTCTCCCTCCCAGTCCCTTACCTCTACTTTTGACATGAGACCTAAGAGAAATTCTTTCTTAAAAAAAAAGTTTTATCTGTTTATTTAAATGGATTGAACCCAGGACCTCGTGCATGCTAAGCCTGTGCTCCATCACTGGGCTATACTCACCCCCTACCCCAAAGAGTTTCTTTCTATAAGAGATTTTAGATCCTATAATGAAGGTAGCCAAAGCAGTGGTTCTCAGACTTTGCTGCACATTGAAATCACCTGGGGAATCTTAAAAACTACTGATGCCTGCCTTCCGCACCCACAGCTTCCCATGATGATTCTACTGTGTAGCAAAGTTTGGGAACAGAACTCCCAAATCTTTGATCTTTAACCGAAGATCCATTTACTCCATCGATGGCCTCCTATTTTTCCCTCTGAATTGAAACTCCAGCAGTTGGACTGATAATAAGGTTAGATATGATCAAGGTACATTCATTACCAGCCCTGCAAAAGACAATTCAGAGGGCATGTCCTCCTGGCAGTAGCCAGTGACATTTTCATACACAGAGGGAAACACATTTTAATTGTAGCTATATTTAAACTCACGTATTATTTCTGTATGGCATGGAAATAGCTATTCTGGTTGTGTGTGTTTGTGTGTGTGTCTGTGTGTGTTGGAGTGTAGCAGGGCTCAGACGTGATGGTGTATCATCACAGAACATTTACATTT